TAGTTTGAAACACTGTTTCAAAATTTTTGTCTTGTCTCTTGAATCTAGTAGTTTGAGAATCACGGGCCTGACCTTTCCGGGTGATGGCCGCCCCAGTCTATGGATACGTTCAATAGTCACCGGATCTAGCTCAAGAATACCCTTTATTATATCATTGTTCACAGTGGACTCTAGCGACTCGTTTGTCTCTTCTTTCGATTCAGGTAGTCCGTAAACAATGATATTGGACCTTCTGCTTTGGTTTTCAAGATCATCAATCCTTGCTTCAAGATTCGCAATCTGTTGCTGACATGACGTGACCTTTATCTCTAGGTTGGCTAATGAATCTAATTTTTTGTCTATATCGGTCAAGCGTTTTTCCTTAATTTCCTTGATGTCAGTTGCAATTTCACTAAGTTGCTTTGCTATTTGTTCTAGAGTAGGGCCGGGGTTAGTCTCAATATCGCCACTTAGCAGAAGGATCCTCCTAACAGATGACGCCACATCAAACAATATGCAACATATTCCGCAACCGAACAACCGTGGGCACGGCAACATCACCAAGAATGGATCGCTAGAACGAAAGCTCTTTCCGTATCGTTTGCTTACCTGTACAAAATACAGGAAGGGATTAGATGCGACCCACATGGTGGTGATGCCGCCGTGCCCAGTGCCAGCCCAGTCCTCGGGAGTGCCTTTTATAGCCGAACCAGCAGATGACGTCCCCCAGCTACTGGTCACGTGGTGATGTGGTGGTATCTTGCTTTGGAAAACTGATGGGCTTGTCCACGATAAAGCCGGGAGATTGTCAGTCGGTTTGTGGCAGTCGGAGGCGTTCCACCCATGCGACGGCGCAACTTTCGTCGCACCAGCGTACGTTTCGTTGATGATGTGCACCAGGCCAAATATCTGTACAAAATACAGGAAGGGATTAGATGCGACCCACATGGTGGTGATGCCGCCGTGCCCAGTGCCAGCCCAGACCTCGGGAGTGCCTTTTATAGCCGAACCAGCTGATGACGTCCCCCAGCTACTGGTCACGTGGTGATGTGGTGGTATCTTGCTTTGGAAAACTGATGGGCTTGTCCACGATAAAGCCGGGAGATTGTCAGTCGGTTTGTGGCAGTCGGAGGCGTTCCACCCATGCGACGGCGCAACTTTCGTCGCACCAGCGTACGTTTCGTTGATGATGTGCACCAGGCCAAATATCTGTACAAAATACAGGAAGGGATTAGATGCGACCCACATGGTGGTGATGCCGCCGTGCCCAGGCCTTCACCGAGGCCTTGACCGAGGCCTTCACCCGTTTTGACTTGCCAGTGGAGTTGATCCTGGACAATGCGTCTTATTCCATGGCCAAGGTGTTTGTGGGTATGTGTGCTACCTTTGGTATTAAGCATCGCAAAACAGCCACATATCACCCACAGGCCAATCCTACTAAGCAGCTGAACTGGAACCTCAAGCCCTTGCTGACAGTCCTTCGCATAGCAATACAGGGATTGGGAAGCCTGTCTTGATGAGATCGGCTTTTCCTAGTGAACAGTGGTCAATCGTTTGACCAGATACTGCTTCGGGAGAGATATGCCTAACCCTATGGACCGCCTTCTGTGGGTGGCAGTGGGACGTGCGCCACGAAAGCTAGCCCATTTGTCTACACAGTAGAACGGTGTTCGCAGATGGACGCAGCCCTCGACGTGGTGCGTTCAAACTTGGCAAAAGCGCGAGTTGGATAGAAGGGTCAGTACGACTGGTCGTACAGGGACGTGCACTACAATGTCGGTGATCTCGTCCTCTGGCGCCGCCACGTCTTGAGTGATGCCATAAAGTCCATCTTGGCCTCCCTGTCGGCCAAGTCGGCCAATGTGTCGCCTCTGGTGTTCAAGCTGGCTGACTCTCAAGGGAGACAAGATGGCAGTCCAGTTAACGTCTCCAATCTCAAACTTTTCGTTGCCCGCTGAAATGACTTAGAAAGGAGGGAGACGGTTACTGAACCACAGGAAAACTGTGAGAAGGCTGGTCCCAAGTCACACCACCGGTACAACCTGCGGAAAGGCACTTAAGCACCACCCTTTCTCCCAATAGAAGGTAGCTGGACTTTATTTCATGCCATGTTAGTAAAGGGAGAGTAACTACTATGGTGTACTGACGCACATCTGGAAGCGGCACAAGGCCTACCTGGCGGAAAATACCCTCTGATGTGCTTGTCCAAGCCTTACCCTTACAAGCGCCCCCTTCGTTGGGTAGCACCGTCAGGTAGGCATTCTTTTCGGCAAGCTGACTATGCCGGAGCCTTTCCGATGTCTTCCAGCACCCAACTCTACCGTGCGGCCAGTCTGTTTCTGACGGGCAGGACTGATGTCCCCTGATTTTTTCCGCTGTGGCCTGGTTCTCACCTTCCGCCCCTGCTGACACCACCATCCAGCCCAACTCTCCTGACGGCATTGGCAGCCGCTTGCAGTGGCTGGTCCACCCACTCAAGCTATGACCAAGGCTCGAGTGTGGTCACTGAGGCTTCTGTTCCAGGCTGCGTGCCATTCTTGCAAGCCCTCGTCCCATCAACTTCCGGTGGTTCACTGCTGCACACACCTTGCAGCCACGCCTCGCATGTTCCTGGCTGCAATTTTTTTCCATCCGGCAAACTTCAAAGAAGCTGGTAACCACCTGTTGTGCAGTTCTACACCGTTTCTTTTGAGCCGCGAACCTCGTTTCTGGCAATTGGTTCTCTCTATTGTGGTGAAACTTTTGGGGGAACTGTGTAACCTTGGCCGACCATGGACTCGTGTCAACGTAAGCGACAACCTCGCCTCTCTGTGTTCTATGACACTCTTCTTCCATCCTGGCCTTCATGGGGAGGACATTTTCCTGCTGGACATTGCCCTGTTGACCAGCCCCCTGAGAACTGAGCCGAACTTGCTACTTGGCCTCGGACAGCCTCTTTCACAGGCTTACCTCAATGGAAGTGCTGTGCCAATTGCGCCATTCTACGCCCATCTGACCTGCTGTGCCTCAACGGCAATTTGCACGTGCAACACAAAATTTAGTAGAGTTTTACCATCGACCTGAGCAACACGAGTGAGCTACACAACGGACACAACCACGTTCATATCAAATTAGTTCGAGCACGTTGTATTTCTGTTCATGCATGAATCTTGCCTAAGTGGACAGAATGCATGAATCCGGTTAAGAAGGCGTTTGTGTGCATACCTCATTATGCCACTCTATACGTTTTTTAACAGCAAAACTGTTAGTCAAACTGTAAAGACGGCAGTGGGGTAGCAAAAGACTCGCCGCATCGTTGCCGCGCAACCGCCGAGTATCACACGGGCTCTGTGATGGAGACTCTCAAATCATATTAACTGCAAAAAAATAATAATACAAATAAAAATCAGTTTCACCGGTGAAACGATGATTGCAAGAAAAAAATTTGTAGTGTAATGGTAACGCCGCAAGCGCTCTTTTTGTTTTTATTGTTGCCGCACCATTACGGGTGTAACACTGCCTTGCACAAACCCTGCCCGAATGACTGGGAACCATCTTGATAATCTTAGAACCTTCCGATGAGATTACGCGCACAACGCATACATTAGAGTTTGTTCTGGACCTTACGCGCCCACTAGCGATAACTCCGGACTCTTCGAGAGCACATGTATGAATGCCAATGCACTTCGCTGCTTGGCACCTTATCGATGACCAACATTCTATGTTCACTGCTATATGTGTATAGCATGTATTTCTTGTAGAGTGACGTTTTGTTTTCCCAGCAGAGGTTCATTCAAATAAAAAGTTCACTCATGAAAACAGCGGCTGCTGCCTTCGTCAGCATCCCGACCCCGTGACAATACAAAGGTTGGCAGCTAACTCTTTTGGATGTGGCATCACGACCCTCAAGGAAATGCTGGTCGAAGAGAATAAGTAAGGCCTCTCCAGGGAGAAATGTTCTTATCGCACAATCTCTTCTCGTTGAGAGTGCACCATGTATAATGGCTTGCGAGCTGTGCGTTAATGCTTGCCGATAGCTCGCGTGCGAGCTATCACAACCACGCTCTCAGAATCGAAGTTCATCGCTGCTGCTCAAGCGACCCACGCTTTCCCCCAGGTCTTTTCATGCTCGTTTAAGACAGGCGGTGTGTTCCCTCTCTGCTTGACATTCGATGGCAGGTCTAACACAAGGTGCGATGCTATCGCGTGTGCCCTTTGAGCGACGAATATCGGCCGCTTCTTCTATTGTCTGCTTTTCCTCTCATTGTCATCCCTATGACTCTTATCACCTTTTTTTATTACTTGTCGGGTGTGAACACTCCATTTGCAGTTTGTAATATTTTATATTTTTGGCACTCCAAAATGGCCTGAGCCAGTAGCGTTATTGCAACAATAAGAAGAAGTGAACCTTGTGTGTTGGATTTGGCGTGGTGATTTTCAAGTAATTATTCTGTTCTTCAGAACCGCAAGGTCTTTTTCAATAGAATAACTCTGAAACGAATTCAGTAATATCCAATAGACAAACCGGGTATAGCCATATTCAAGCTGAAGTAGTGCATGTTGTTGGGCTAGTGTGTCAATTGATCTTGAAAGCATGTTTAAACTGCACTTCATGTGTGTGTGTTATGTATGTCTACCGTGTTAAATGTGTCCTCGCGCAGTTCAAACATGTCTTCAAAATAGATTAGCCAACTAGCCCAACAACATGGATTGCTGAAGTATATTTCTTCTACACTAGGCTCCCCTGTGCTTCGTTTGTGCGTGTTCTATATCGAGCATGTCTTTTTTGTTCAGTTTAAACATGCGATATTCGTACAGGGGGTTACATCACCCTCGTACATCAGTTTAAAAATGATTTGACAATGACAAATTGCAACTGTTACACTTTAAGCCACCAGTATTCAGCTTCCAGCTTGCGGTAATGTAACTACTATATTCAGAAAACATTTGCTGCTGCTGAAGTTATAGTAAATGTACGTGTTCCTCACAAATTCTCCTGGCATTAGTTATTTCCTTATATGTGTTCTCCCTTGCCTTTTCAGGCACGATACATGTGCGCTGTGACGCATGACATCCTTGGTAACTCCGTGCCTGTCGCAGCGCTGCGAACCTCGTGAGTCCCTTTTTGTCATAATTTGCGAAATGTGTGTGTAAAATATGCTGCGATTTAAGATTTGTTTGCCTACATAAAGTAGTGCACTATTAAAAAACAAGTAAAGGAGGTAGTTAAATGAACTGCTGCAACTAATATTTGATTACTTGACAACAAAAATTAGGAAGATGCAAACAGTTTAAAGTCTTGTAAAATGCATAAACACTTGCATGTTTATTGAAGTTTGTAGACCTTGAGAGTGAAGGTTAAATTCTAGTGATATAGTTTGTAACTGTCAGTGTCAATGATGTTGGGAGGCCCTGCCGATCTAAAAACGATGTTGTGGCAGACTCAGAAACTTCCACTTTACGTTTAGGCCTGCGACGCCTTAAAGGGACCTTGAAACGTTTTTTTTTTTTTTTTTTAAGTTTTGTCAGTGTTTAGAAGGGTTGCGGTTGCTGATCGGGCGAGTTGGTCATCCATGAACGTAGCGTTGAACGTAGCGTGTATTAGCGCAGTACATAAAAGAAAGGGACACGACACAGACGTATAGATAGGTAGGCCCTATTTTTTTTTCTTGCCAATAACACCCATTTTATACATCCGCGACCGAGCACAACTCATCTTGCGCGTGTTCTTAAACCAAGGAACGTCATCTCCTTTTCTGACAAGGAAATCAATGACGAGCTTATACACAAATGGCCTAATTCTTCTATAGCCTCTGCTTCTTTTATCTCCCGTGTGAGCCGATCTCTAGAACGACCGATAATTATGCAACCATACAGATCAGGGGAGCACCCACAACCTTTGCAGTGTGCCGCCAGGAATCCTCCCGCCGTAAGCTTATTTTTCACATTATAGCAGTGCTCGCGTAATCTGTCATTCAGACACCGTTTTGTTTGCCCAATATAATACATCCCGCAGGATAATGGAAACTTGTAGATGACACAGGATACACAAACAACGAATATAATGTGGTGTTTCTTATCACAAGCTGGGAGTGTTACGTCCCGAGTGAACGGCGCAGTAACCAAGCAAGAACATGGAAGGTTTATTTTGCGTGTCTCGCTTTTATGTGCTCGGCGATGGCGATGACGTCATGTCATGATTGGCGACACGCTTGCATGACGTAGCACATCTCCCCCTTTTACCAGTTGAACTGTTGAGGTGGTCGCCGTAGCCTGTTGGACCGGCGAAGCGGCGGCGGTGCCTCAGGTTGGCTAGAGGGCGGCGACCCCGCCGGCGTGGGGTCAGCCATGCCGGCTGGCATCGGCGAGGTTTCGTTAGCGGTGGTGGTGGATGTTGTAGCGCCCCCTGGCTGCGTCGTGTTCAAGTCCTTCGGAGTGCGCAGCCGCAGTTGGTTCGCATGACGACGTTGCTCGCCGTCCGGCGTAGACTCAGTCGTCATCCAAGCCCCTTGGGTACTGCTGACCACTCCCGGCAGCCATTTTGGCCGGCTGTGGAAACTTCTCAGCCACACCGGCTGTCCTGCACAGAACGGCATGGTGGAGGAGCGCTCTTCAAGACGCGGTTCCCCGCCTGCACTCGGGAGGCAACAGTCTAGCCAGGTCCGTAGCTGATAACCCAGCAGTAGTTCGGACGGAGACTTCCCAGCCTTTAATGGTGTTCGTCGGTATCGGCATAAAAACTCACTGAGACATTTAATAAATGTGCCACCCCCTTGGCTTTTTCGAAGGCCTTCCTTGATCGTGCGAACCGCGCGTTCCGCCAGGCCACTTGACTGCGGGTGGTAAGGTGTCGTCGTCACGTGGTTGATCCCGTTCATTCTTACGAACTTCTGAAACTCGGCTGAGACGAACTGTGGCCCATTCGGCCGATGTTACCGGTGATAACACCCCTTCGTTTACCAGCCAATCTAACTCTGCTGATACCATTTGTTTGAGCGCATACGGCACCGTCCGTGCCTTACAAAACCGGGGTCTTGCGCCTTCTTTGACGGTCAGGTGTACCGGTGGCCCTCGGAGCAAACCCAACCCCGGAGCAAAGACATCACTGTACTTTGATAGCGTGGTTTCCACCATTCTGTCCGCATTTTCTGCCTGCACACTCGCCACCTCGTTTCCAGTGAGTACCGGCACGCCTGCCGTATTGAAGCTGCAGATAGTGTCACGGCCGCAAAGCATCGGTCCCGGACAGTCGATGACGAAAAGTTCGGCCTTAATGGTCGCGCCACTCATGGTCGCATTGAGTTGCAATTTTCCGTTGATAGGAAGTGGGCCCTTGAAACACGACAGCTTCATTGTTGTGGCTTGCAAATGTGGCCATTTGCCTCGGTGTCGCTCGAGCACTGACCCCGGAATAACACTCACAGGTGAACCCGTGTCTACCAACATCGTGAGCGGCACTGCTTTCCAACTTATCTGGCGCAAAATAGGCTTTATGTGCGCGCTGTCCGTCACTTGATGCGCAGTCAGCGTGTATAAAGCTTCGCAGTCCTCCGAACTCTCTTGTGGGTCTTGCGAAAGGGCGTTCGCTTGTTGCCTCCGATCAGTGTCTTCGTCCGACGCTCTACACACTCGTGCCAAGTGGCTGCATTTCCAGCATCGATGGCACACTGTTCGGAGATGACGACAATCATCCGCTTGGTGCGAGGATGCACCACAGCGGATGCAAGGCCGATGCTCATTGCGAGATAGCCCACTTGCTTTCTTCGACTTCGAACATGAGAGGCCCGGCCGGATAAAATTCGTTGTGTCGGCTACCGGGGAGGGCAGTGGCTGCATGTGTTGCGCGTTTTCCCGCGGCGGCCTCAGCAGCCATTACGAAGTCTTCTGCTTCCTTCAAAGTCAGGGAACCGCGGGTCAACAACAGACGTCTTACGTCACCGTCTCGAACACCACATACAATGCGGTCCCGCAGCATGCAGTGCAACATGTCGCCGAAATTGCAGTCTTCGGCCATGCGGCGAAGGGCGGCTACAAAATCCCGCACTCGCTCACCTTCTGTCTGTGTGCGCGTGAAGAATCGGTAGCTGGCTGTTGTTTCGTTGACCTGTGGCTCGTAGTGGCTCTGCAGATGCTTGATGACATCGCTGTAGGTGAGGTCGTTCACGCTTTTGGGGTGGCATCGTCCCTGAAGTACTTTGACGGCGCCATTGGACAGAGCCGCCACCAGCAGGGCTCGTTGTTTTGCCTCGTCTGTGATTTCCTGTGCTTGAAAGTATGCTTCCAAGCGTACCATGTAGGCGGACCAGCCTCCTTCTTCCGTGAATGCAGGCGCCTGTCCCGGCGCCATCGCTGCCTGTTTCAGCAGCCGCACTTCAAAGCCTCCTCCCACCGCGTCGATTCGTGCCTCGTCGCCGCTGTTACGTCCCGAGTGAACGGCGCAGTAACCAAGCAAGAACAAGGAAGGTTTATTTTGCGTGTCTCGCTTTTATGTGCTTGGCGATGGGGATGACGTCATGTCATGATTGGCGACACGCTTGCATGACGTAGCAGGGAGAGCAACAATTCTTGGACAAGTGAGCTTGCAAAGCTCCCCTAGTTTCTCGGGCGCTGAAAAAACGACACGTACATTAGCTTTCTGGGCCACTTTCTTTAAGTTGCGAGAAATTGTGTGCATGCAAGGGATAACACCTACTCTGCAGCCCGAGTACTCCAAAACTTTACGCCTGTTTTCTTTTCGAGACTCTTCGAGAGTGCGTTCGGCAACAGAAACCGGTAACAGAACTGGGTAGCCTGCTTCGGTTAGACGCTTGCTTTGGGTCTCGAAACTGGACGCCATCTTGTGGTGACACGATTTAGTCACGGCATTTTTAAAACACAAGTTTGCGATGCCCCTCTTAATGAGTTTTGAATGCGCAGAAGCGAACAAAAGAAGAGGCTTATTCGCTCGCGGCTCATATCACCAGCACGTGTGGTTTTCCAAGAAAAATAACCTGAGGTCCAAAAACCAAATAGAACCCCCTTGTGGAAGTTCGCAAGTGACCTCCAGGGGCGCGAGACATCCCTTAATCGCGGGCAATACGTCATCAACCTTCGCCTCGACGTCAACAGAAGTGCAGTCAATGAAAAACAGGAAGTTGTCGACAAAGCGAAAAACTTTGTGCACTTTGGTGTTTTGTAGTGTTTTAGACAAGGTAATACTAATACGAGATAAAAACAAATCACTAAGAATGGGTGCTATACACAAATCGATGCACATGCCCTTTTTTTGCAAATACAGTGCGTTGTTCCAACAAATAAAAGTGGACGATAAGTAAAACGATAAAAGTTCTAAAGAATGACTCATCGACAATGAAGCTTCGTCTTGCAAGTGCATGGTGCCATATTCATCGATGGCATGTTCAATAAAAGACAACAGAGCACTGTGAAGGATTTAATAATACAAATCTTTTATATCTACCGAAAACTGCTTGATAGCCTGTTCGGGGATGGTCCTTCAAGAACTCTACCTCTTGATCAGAGTTCCTAATCAAGAACGGATCAGTCACGGGCAAACAATTAAGCTTGGCTTGAAGAAACAAAGCGACTGACTTCTGCCAGGTGTCATTCTCTGATACAATTACTCTTAAAGGGACGTCTGGTTTGTGAGTTTTTACACTGAACAATACCTGGAGGTGACATCGTTTGCTATCATTAATACTCTTCCGTAGCTTATCGAGATTGAGCCTGCCACAAAGTTTTTTGGCCTGCGCTTTAGCCTTAGTCAGAGTGATGTCATCATTTCGTTTGAAAACACTGGATGGCCTCGTCTGCCTTGGCACAAAACGTGCCTGTAGGCAAAACGGCGAAGCCACCTTTCTTAGCGCCTACTTATCTCTACGTCTGTGTCGCGCCTACTATCTAGCGCCTACCTATCTCCCTGTCTGTGTCAAGTCCCTTTATTTTATGTACTGCGCTAATACACGCTATGTTCATGTCAGTGTTTAGCCTAGAACATCATCAAACAATTCGCATCACAAATTTAGTGATGCACCGTGTACCAAGACCGCTAGAGACAATTATATTATACCCTCCTTTTTCACCTCTTCCTGGCCTCCCTTGTTTGTGCGAGCAGAC